TGGTTTTATTTTATTTATTTTTGGCGGAACCATGGACTGAACTCAGGCCCTTGTGCTTGCCAGGGAAGCACTTATTCCACTGAGCCATCTCCCATGCCTCTGATACTGATTTTAAAGGTAAATTTTTAACACATATGGCTCAGTTCTTGCTGAGCTCCCCAGACACTTAGCAATAGAGTCCTCACACCTAGATGGTCTAGGTCAGGCTGCGTTTGTTTTTTCCCTTGCAAAACAGAATGAGTAACTTTAACGGACACAGAATCTGTGGAAATCCAGAAAAACGAGAGTGTACAGTTGCCATAGTTTAAGGTGGCTCTTAACTTTTTACATGGAAAACTTGAAACAATTAATTTGTGTGCCCAGCACCGAGGATTTCCAGAAATTTTTACATCCTATTGGATGAAATGTCTAAATTAGGCGAGTATATCTTCTTAGTTTTGTGATGTACTCAGCCAGACCGACCTCCCAGCCCCTCTGGATGAGGGCGTCCCTCTCTTCCTCCAGTGCCAGGTTCACATCAGGTCTGTCTATGGACGTTGCAGCCAGGAAAGCCATGGTCTTGGAGGCCTCTGCTATCCCTTACGTGTACAGGGCATTCTCGACAGATGTGAGTTTGGCCAGTTTGTTCTCACTGAAGGGCATCTCCACGTCATCCAAAATCTCCAAGTCCTGGGGTTTGGACACAGCTGCCATCATATGATCGTTTTTATTCTTTGGGGAGAGGCAAAGGTCTCAGGAGCGTAGCACCTCTAGAACTTTCTGCAAAAGATGGTTGAGACTCCAAGTGGCAGCCCTCAGACAGTCTGCTTTAAGTTTGGTATCAAAGCTCCTTGTATAACAAGGACACAAACATGCAGAATCAATGAATGAGACTTTACATGACCTAAAACTTCACATTCCCACGGTGACCATATGAAGTATTCTATGCATCATATCCTACTTGCTCTCTGAAATAATCATGTGGAGTTAGCAGCACTGGATTACTTGTGACCAGCTATGGGCTTTGGGCACCAGCAAAAATGGATCACCCAAATGTGTTGGGGGAAAGTGGTTATCTGATTTCTTTTTGTTTGTGCTGGAGAGCAGACCCTGTATGCCAGGCAAGCACCCTACTATTGAGACTTACCTCTGCCTTGACATCCTATTTTAAAAGGAACATCTATACTGTCGCCAAAGTGGGAAAAAATCAAACCTTTTCTGCATTAAGGTGCTATTTCAATTATGCAAATATACATATCCTGACTGCTTTGCTTTATTATGAAAATCTAAATCTCTTCTGACTCTAGAGGAGTTATCTCTACTTTATTATAGAATAATGCAAGGCTCAGAGTTTGGCAAGTAGCTCACACAGCTAGTTAGGTGTAGATCCCATTATGATGGCTCTCAATGTTTATGGCATGCTTATGATGACACCCTTGTTTTCCTTTGACAGTTGTAAATGTCATTGGGCCTGCTTTAATGGTTTAGTGTTTTAATCAAAACACACAACAAAGTGAACCTAACTATATGTTTCATGTCTCTTGTATTCTTAGCACCTAGGACAGGCTTGTCACCTCTTTTTGGCAGTAGGATTGAAAGGATGAATGGTATACAATCATCAGCCTACCTACACGATTGAACTTTTATATAATTTCGGGGTCAACCAAGGGGGAGAGAGAAGAAAATCAAGCAAGGCAAGAAAATTGCTCTGATGCCTTTCTGTGATTGCTTACATTTTCAAGATGGGGATCTTCAGGTATTTTCATTTAGTTCTTATTTAGCACGGTCCCTATTTTGGAGGCTGAGGTCCCAGACTCCCTTCCCCTTATATAAAGTGTGCCAGGCAAAAGGAGTGTGATTTGAAGAAATATGTGCTACAAATTATTCAAATAGTATTTTCCAAGAACAGTATGATTTTATACTACTCATAAAGGTGGCAATGGAGAGGTGATATTGACACAGTCTCATGTGCTTTGCTTTATAGACACCACCCCTGAACGTGCAGACATAGGGAAGAGTCAGGCAAGGAGGCACACATCTATCATCTCAGCACTCAGGAGGCTGAGGTCAAGGATAGTGAGTTTTTTAGGCTGGTCTGATCTACACAGTGAGCCTCCACCTCAAAAACAAATGAAACAGGGGCCAGGGAGATAGCTCAGTGGAATAAGGGCTTGCCTGGCAAGTATAAGGTCCTGAGTTTGACCCCTGGTACTACCACAAAAAAAAAAAAAAAAAAAAAGAAACAGACAAAAGGCATTTCAATTTATGGGTATCTCCATTGCACCACGGCAAAGGTTATAAAGTACTGGAATGCATAAAAGTCACCGAGGAACCATTTAAAAATTTCCTTCTCCCTGGATTTGATTGATCCCTAGCATAATTACAAACAAGTATAAATAAAAGTTTGTTTTTCTGAGCTTGTAGACATGAATGGACCTTGGGATCTGTACCCCAGGTATTTCTGATGTTTATTTGCCATGCTGTGAGAAACATTAAGGAATTGAGCAGGTTAAAAAAAATTCTGAACTGCAATCTTTTTACCATGCTCAGTATCTATACTGTAAATGTTTTATTTCTATATTTGCTTTCCCAAAACTGACTCCTTTGCTCTAAGCTTGTCACTTGCTTCAAGCAATTCACACCAAAGTATGAAATTTGAAGCCTCTTTGAAAGCACTTGCCTTAAAAATACGTAAATGTATATACAAAATGTGTCTACATATATACCCCAATGTAAATATATATCCGAAGGTAAATGCCTCCATTACATTTTTTATTTTGGGGGAACCACAACAGCTTCTAGTTAGTCCAACTGATAGGGGAATCATGCTCATTTTCTTCATCTAGCTACTGAATTACTCTATTTTATTCTGGAAGCATCCTGTGTCGCTGTGATGCTTTCCTGTCATCTGCGGGGAGGATCCTTTATATCATCACTCCCTGCATGTTTCAGTGACCTCTGCTCATCATGAACCGGGATTAGTGTACTTATGTTTTTTTTTCAGCTCCAAAAGAATTCAATGCCTGGCAAATAGGCGCTCATTTTGAATGGATGAGTGGCAGAGCCAAGGCTGGGACTTTTTAAAATCAATGCTGACTTGAGAATCACAACACGGAAACGCCAAGGGCTGCACACTAGGTAACAAATACACAATCAAAATACCATCTAACAGCACAGAATCCACCTGAAGGGAGCACCTGTCTCCTTTGCTCAAGTCACTTTCCATCCTTTCCGGACAGGCCAACTTCCCGCCCACTCTCCCCTGGGGTAGACAGGTCAGGCAGGTATCCCAGCTCTGTGGCTCTGATTGGCCGACGATGATTTCATTGTTCGGGAACATCCGGGCCTTTCTCCTCGCAACACCTCCCCAGAGCCTACCCGTCCACCCAGCTTCCCACGCCCGCCTGTGCCCCACCCGTTTCTGAAGCAAAACTACCACCACCACTTCTCAGCCCGCTTCTCGTCCTCGTCCTCACTTTCCCCTTCCTTCTCCACACCAGAGAGACATTTATTTTCTCCAATGAGGGTTTAGGGCGACTCCGTGGGCCAATCAGTGGCCAACCCCTTGCGGTTCTGGGTGGGAGTAGGCGCCCACACCTATAACCCGACAGTCCGAGGACTCCTTTATGGCGCTTGTTTTACGCAAGGCTTAGCGGTCAAAAGTAAAGGAACGTGGTCCTCACGGAACGGGAAGAATCCACACAGACTCCTCTGGGTCTGGCCGTTTTCGAAGACTAGCCAATCGCTTTTCGGATAGACTTCCCCGCCTTTTGAGCGTTCATTTAAAAAAAGCCGGTGTGACGGACTTGGAAATTGGTTCTGTGATGGACACGTCGAGCAAGCCAATGACCGAGAGTTCAGGGCACCGTTTGAACCAATAAAACAAAGGAGTCGCTGAGGCTCCGGCCTGCGGGGCGGCGCGCAGGTGGGCGTAATTTGACTGACAGATGCCTCTACTTACGGCTGGCACGGTGGGTTGGCCCGTGACGTCCGGGAGGTTAGTTGCCGAGCGGAGGCGGGGCTGAATGAAGGCAATGGTAATAAAGGGTTGGGCCTCACTCAGTGGGCGGTGTTTGATGGATAGCTGACCCTGCCAATTGAAGGTGGTAACTGGTGTCCAATGGGAAATTAGGAGGTCGGAGGCGGGGCCATGTGGGAGGGGAAAACTCTGGCTGCATCAGGGGCGATAAATGGGAGGGATAGCAGAGATTGACAGACTTCCTAGCAATTCGGAGGCCGTAGGAGGGCGCACGGCGCTCCAATGGGTGGGCTGTGGGGGCGGGATTCTCCGGAGGGCGGGGAAAGACGGGGTGCGGAGAGGGGGTTGCAGTAGGAGCCGAACCGCTGCTGCTCAATGGCGGAAAAGCCGCCGGTGCTCTGACCGCCTCGTCCCCGCCTAGCAGTTGCGGGGGAGTTTCCTGCCGGCGCGGCTGGAGTCTCTGTTTCTCAGTGTTCGGTGGCTGGAAGATGCTCCAGAGAGACGAGGCTGCGGCGGAGGCGGAGGTGGTGGCCGTATCGGCAGCGACTCTAGGGTGGAGAGAAGGCGGCGGCGGCGGCGTGAGGGGCCGGGCGGTGTAAACAGCCCGGGTGACGGCGGAGGCGGCGGTGGCCGAGAGCCGAGGGTCGAGCGGCGGCTGAGGCAGGGTCACGCCTCCAGCGGAAGCCTGGGCTGAGAGCGCGGGCGCGACGGGACGCCTCAGACCTCGCCTCCCTCCCTTGCTCGCCCAGGTGAGGCCGCTCGGTGTCCGCCCGAGGGGGAACGGCCGCCCTCCGCGGTGCTCGTGTCGGGTCGGGGCCTCGGGCTGCGGCGGGGGCCTGGGCAGCGGGACGCGAGGCCTGGCTCCCAGGTAGGCCCTCCGTGCCGCCGCCTCCGCGCGCCGCCAGGCCGGGAGAGGTGCGGAGAGGGAGTGGAGTTTGCTTCAACGCCTGGACTCTACTGCTTGCCCGTCCCCAGTCCGGGCTGCAGACACCCTGCGGGAGCGCCGGCGCTGCCCTGGGCCCGGGCTCTTGCCCTGCTGGTGCATGCGTGATGTGAAAACACCACCTTTCCCCCTTGTTCCCTAGTCGGCTTCTGCCCCGCTCTGCGCTCCGCTTTACTTCCTTGTTAAATCTTGCTTTTCTGTGGGGTTCCCTGTCTCCTTTCTCAGTGGTAGCTTTAAATCGTTTGTTTCGTGTTGAACTCCTGGCTTTTCTCGCTTGCTTTCCCTGCGTCGACTTTTTAAAAGGATGTCATTCTTCCTAGCAGTGAAGTTCTTAATTGAAACTGGCTGTCCTCAGTACCCCCAATCTGTCCGAGGCCCTTTAAGAGTAGACCGATCAACTTTATATGGTAGATCACTTTCTTGCCTTGTGAGTATAACATCGTTTTAATCGTAGAGTGAAAATAACACGGAAATAATTTATAAAACAAAGGTTTTAGTGAGTATTGGAAACAGTTGCTTCATTTTTTTTTTTTTTTATTTAGTTACATGACCTCTACAAGGAGTTTCAGCAGATCGTTTGTTTACCCATGTTATTTGACAAAAATGCCTTTTAAACATTTGATAGCAAGTCAAATTCATTAGAATCCAAGCCACCCCAAAACGACTTGAAAACTGGAAAAAATACATGAACAACTCAGAAGCTGTTTGAATAAAGTCGCAGTTAAAGAACTTTAAAAATAGGCTTAATACATGTTTTATATGTCAAAATAAAGTTGGCAGCAATGTTATGAAAGGATTATTTAGGAATTTGAGTAGTCTTAGTGTTATGTAGCTATTTTGGGAAAATCATTCTTTTTCTGCTAAACGTTTACATCTACTGTGATGTGAGAATTACTGAGGTTTATTGTGGGATTAACACAGGAACTCTTTTTATTTGAGCTACTGCATGGATGGAGAAGTGGTAAATTGTTCAGTGTAAGTCACAGTATGTTCTCAGAGATGGGAGAAACATGTGGTCGACGCCGAATGCTAGTAGATATTATTTCATTTACTTTCTCTTGTGTAATAGCGAAGTTCCTATTGTTGGCCTACTTTTAAATAGAGCATTTCTAACTAGTAATGCTAGTCCTTCTAATTATGACAAGACATTTCTGCGTGTACAGTACAGGCTTTTAGAAAAGGTTGAAATAATAAAATGGTAATCGTTAGATAAATGTTTCTTGAAGCCTCCCAAATAGACAGTGTTGTTACAATAAAACTTTTTAAGTGTATTTAGGACTTTTTTTCCCCAGGGATTTTTATTTTTATTTTTTTATTTTGTCTCTTTCTCTCAGTGACTTCTTTGTCTTTTTTTTTTTTTTTTTTAATGGTTGTTTGTGTTTTCCCTCTTCATTCGTTTTTTGTTCTTCTAAAGTCTTGTAGCAGTTTCTGTAGTGCTCCTGTATGCTGTTGCGTTAGCATGGAGCAGTAGTATGTTTTTTTATTTGAGCTTTCATGGCCATTAGTTAATATTTTCCTAGTTTCTTGTAGAGTATCATATGGATTTGTTGCTGTGATTATGCTCAGAAGTGACTAGCAGAGCTTTCTCTACCCTTGGTTCTTACCCTGGGTGTCTGGTTTCTCTGAAGACTCTAGGAATAGGTGAGCAAGCTTTTCAGTTTGTCTGGTGGTCATGTCAGCAAAAGCTGTTTTATGTTAGTAAGTCACGGATTATAATTACTAAGTCCTTTAAGATTACATCATCTGCAGGAATGGTGTAGTGTCTAAATAGCTGTTCTTTGAAGAACAGCTAGTTCATAGGGTCAGAAAAAGTGGTTCTTTTTTTTTTTTTTTTTTCCCCCTGGAACTGAGGATTGAACTCAGGACCTTTTGCTTGCCAGGCAAGCATTTATTCTATTGAGCTATCTTCCCCAGCCCCAGAAAAAGTGGTTCTTGTTGGAAGTTACAGTATTTTCTTATAGTGCACCATTTTTAGGAGGACTTGAGTTAAGTTGTGATGCTGTCTCGGCAGAATTAGCGATATTGTCACTAAAAATGGAGATTCATTAAAAACTAGTTGAGTGAGGACTGGAGAGATATCTCAGTGGTTTAAGCATCTGCCTTGCAAGCACAAAGACCTGAATTTGGTCCCTGGTACCAAAACAAAACAAAAACAAAAGAAACCTAGTTGATCCACCAATGGATTGCAGACATACCCTTGTACTATGTTAGCTGACATTTGTTGTGTATAATACTGGGAGTGAGTGTTACTTTGTTTTCCACATTTGTGTTATACAAGTACTCTATCTTACGAGTATTTATAAATAATAACTAAAGTATCCTGGGACATTACCCAGCATAAATAGTAAAATATAAAAAGGTGGCCTTTCATATGATAGTAATAAAATGAATTAACTTTTTTTAAGACGGTGTCTTGCTACGTAGTTTACACTGGCCTTGAACTCACTATGCAATCCAGGTTGGCCTCAGACTCTCCTTGATCCTCTAGATTTACTCTCCAGTGCTGGGATTTATAGATGTGTGTCACAGTGCCAGCCAAAATTAACTTATTAAAATACAATACCTGATATTTACATGTGCTCTTCAGAATTTATTTTAAGGGAAATAAGTTGAAAATTAGCCAGTGCAGTCTCAGTAATGTTGGGGCCGGGGAGATGGCTCAATAGAATAAGTGCTTGCCTGGCAAGCCCAAGTGTCTGAGTTCAGTCCCTGGTTCCACCCCCCCCCCCAAAAAAAAAATCTCAATAATGTTTTGTTTAATAATTTTAATAGGGAAATTTATTCAGATAGTGGGTTAAAGTGTGCAAAAAAAAAAAAAAAAGGGATTAGTGGGAGCTGTGGGTGGTGGTGTATGCCTGTAATGCCAGCACTCAGGAGGCTGAGGCAGGATGGTTGCCAAGAGTTTGAGGCCAGCCTGGGCTACATAGTGAGTTGAAGGCGAGCTTGTATTAACGTAGTGAGATCCTGTCTCAAAAAACCAAAGCAACCAAAAAAAACCAAAACAGAAAAAGATTAGTGGAAAGAGAATTTAAGAGAACATGGTGTTTTGGGATGTTCAAGCAATTCTTAACATAGTACTTTTTTTTTTTTTTTTAACATTTGGTACAGGGTCTCACTACACAGCTCGGACTCGTAGTGATCCTCCTGATTTCAGCCTCCCCAGTGCTGGTATTACAGGTGTGCCCCACCATGCCCGCCAGCTCAGTGTTCCTGGAGGCAGGACTGGCGTGGCATGCCAGGGATCGAACCGCAGTCCCTGTGCTTGCCTAGGCAGGTGCTTAGACCACTGAGCTATTTCCACAGCCTTAACATAGTGCTTGATTTTTTTTTTTCTTCTTTTTTTTTTTTTTTTGTACTTTAGTGGTCTAGTATCAGCATTGGAATGTTTTGTTTTGTTTTGTTTTTCTCTTTTGCAGAACCGGGGATTGAACTCAGGCCCTTGCGCTTGCCAGGGAGCATTGGAATGAAATTGAATACTGCTCTTTATTTTGGCAGCTTTAAGGTTTTCTTGTAGGATATATCTGATACATCGCATTAGCAGAATTTTATTTTTTATTTTATTGTTTTGGCAGAACCGGGGATTGAACTCAGGCCCTTGCGCTTTATTTTTTATTTTAGAGTTGTTAAGAGGATTGATTAGTTAAGGGATATGAGGCAAGATTCCTAGAAACTGGGTAGACCCCAGGTAGACAATTTTTTTTGGGGGGGGGGGAACCAGGGTTTGAACTCAGGCCCTTGCACTTGCCAGGCAAGCACTTCTTCTACTAAGCCATCTCCCCCCCCCACCAGGTAGACAGTCTAAACTACCTCACATCTCACTTTCTTGTACTCAAAACTGAAGAAAATAGAGTAGATTTGATGACTGTTTAGTTTGGTAGCATGTGCTGGACAGTCATAAGATGTGCAACATGGCAGAGCATCTCGTTAGTCCTAGCATCTGACCTAACAATTACAGAAAAAGTTACTTGAGCTTCATAATCTCTTTTACACCCCTCCCCCATTGAGGAGTGAATCCAGGACCTTTTCACTGAGCTATTGCCCCAGCCCATTTTATTTTTTAAATTTTGATACAGGCTGGGATTGAATTTTTACTTAATTGCTCAGGCTGAGCCTCTCAGATGCTGGGGTGACAGGCTTGTGCCACCTCCTGGCTAACTTTTGATCTCTTTTGACTGAATAGGTTAATATCTTTGATTAGTCGTTTTGGAATCTTCTTGCAGATAGTACATTGCTCATGGGATCTTTAAAAATCTGATTGAAAGATGAAAAATTTTCAGCATTGTCTGCTTTTTCCATAAAGAATAATGCCATGTAGGTCAACTTCAGTTATTTAATAAAGTAGTTGAATCAGTGTTAGGATAAAAAACCATTTGTTAAATTTTTGTGATAATGAAATTTTCCAAAAGTTCGATCTGCATACAATACATACTTATTTCCCAGACTGTTTTAAAGAGCTTGAGATGTAAAGTAGTGTTGTTTCCTAGGAAACAAATATCATATGAAAATACATACTTTCAAGTTTTCAAATTTCAGTGTTTTATCTCTCTCTCTTTTTTTTCATTTACGTATTTGTACAGGCTCTTACTACGCAGCTCAGACTCATAGTGATCCTCCTGTTTTCAGCCTCCCCAGCACTGGGATTACCAGCATGCACCACCACGCCTGGATTTGATTGCCACGGCTTGGCTGAGGTGCCATGCGGGACTGGGGATCAAACACTGGTCCCTGTGCTTGCTAAGCAGGTGTTTAGTCTGCTGAGCTATCTTGCTGGCCCTGATTTATTTCTTGTAAGTAAAAAACTTGGTT